ATCTTAAAATATTCAGTCTTTGAGCTGTTGCAGAAAAACATGCAAAGCCAGCGTTCACCAAGGTCTGTTCAGAAAAGAAAGCACTATTAATGTAAGCTGCTAATGAGATATATACATTATGCTTAAGTGGACTGGCTTACAACAGATTTCTGCATGCTTCATTCAGTCATGGTGATTATCTGTTAGCGCTATTCGCAAGAATTTAGATTTTTTTTTATCATTGTCGACAATTAAACGCTGCAAAATACTAATTATAGGAGCTGATGTTTGGATGATGTATTTCCACCTTTTGGAACACTACAATTGCTGGTCTTCAATTATGTATGTATCTTCTAGCACATCTACTACTAATTTGTTGGAGCTGTTTCAGAATAATACCTCTCTAATTTGTAAAACAAAATATTACAGGTTAATGCTGCCAATTTCCTCATGTTCACGTTCATTTCCTGTCTTGACCTTTTGACCTACAAGAACTTCACTGGCCGAACAGTTAAGGTTAACTGCTGTATATAACAAATTTCTTGAATCATGAAGGTCCTGCTGTACACTGCTAAGCTTCCAAACACCCGCTGTCATGCACAAACACACAGTAACCTTTCTCTGTCACTGTGGTAACCTTTCTGGTAACCACAGTGACAGGCAAAATAGAGGTGGGAAGTAATGGAAGGAAGTTAGCCCTCTCGGTTGGAGAAGGCTGACCTGTGGAGTTGGGTTTGTTCAGGTGTGACATAAATGTAGGCGGCCAAGGTAAGGAAACTGAAATAACAGAAACTCTTTTTGGCAGCTCACCTTCTCTTTACCAAACTCACACTTCCTATGAGATATTAACCAAGTTCACTGAGGGGGTACAGGTATTAATTTCACTGGAAAAGCGCAACTTATTTCACTCTATATCTCAGCTGCCCCCCTTTTATCCATGAATACAGGTTTTCAAATGCCTACCAGAATATAACAGTAAATATCAAACAGTAGATACAACTGACTCCTGAGCTATTTGGAGGGTTGAACAAGAAATGAAATCACTGGGTTCTTTGTGTCATTGCTTGACAGAGAATTGGGGGGAATTACACTAGCTGGTGTAATTATATGAGTCAGACATAACACAGACACACACACTCTAAGAGAGCAAGAATGTAAGATAGATAAATACAATAAGAGAAAAATAATATTATTGAAGCTGCACTTTCTTCTCACTTCTATTATGACTTATCCTTGAAATACAGCAGCAATACACTTGGCATGGCCTGCTGATGTGCACGCATTTTTTTGACACAAAACATGGATGACAAATGCACTTTGAAATCTAGAGTAAATTAAAGCAAGAAGGCCACCATACATCCTCAGGCTAAAGCAGTGATTGATTCGTGCCGACTGATTGATTGACTGGTTGAAACAAGCAGTGAGCTGGCATTTTCTGACATCCTTGAAGAAAATTAGTGCAGACAAAGCCTATTTTTCAAGCACCTTGAAGACACTACTGATTAAGTCAAATGCTGCCCCTAGTCGTGTATGCACACATAACCGGAGAGAATCTTCCATCACACAAATGCACAAGTTATCAAAGTTTTGATGACAGAGTGAGATTTTCTCAATGACTGCACAAGGAAAATGCACACGTCAAGCACTTTTGGGTAGTTTTTGTCAAGTGTCTGTTCAGGGGATGGTGTGTGTGTGTGTGTGTGTGTAACCATTACAGAGGTTGCTCCCTAACACTGGCTGTGTTTGTCATTGTTAGAATGGTTTGGCATGCTATTATGGGTAAAAAAGTTTAACCTAAAGATAGATGCTGATTGGTCTCTTTCTGTACTTCTGTATGACATTATTAAATGTCATACATACTTGAGGGCTGTATATAATGTTACTACTGGGCACACTGAGTACCATGGCTTTAGTGTTCGGGAAATTGGTGTTCTCTCTATCCTTTTCCTGACCAAGAAATAACCCTTTTTCCACTGGAAAAAATATATAAAAGCAACAGTTGAAGCAAATTGAGCTGTTTCCATTAGAAAAAGTGAGGATGGGTCATCCTGTGTACGAGGACTGCACAGCAGGTATTTGCTTCAGCTGTTCTTCTCCTCTCCTCTTACTTTTCATTAGTTTTCATTTGATGTCAATTATGCAGTTTTTTTAGATTATATTTATATAATCTAAAAATATAATCTAAAATATATATATTTATATTTTAGATATACATTTATTTAAAAAAAAATCCCCTCTTGTCCCTGTTGTCCTTCAAGCTTGGGTCCTCTACCAGAGGTCTAGGAGCTTGAGGGTCCTGTGCGGTATCTTTGCTGTTCCTAGAACTGCGCTCTTCTGAACAGAGATCTTGGCTGCTATTCCTGGGATCTGCTGGAGCCACTCGCCTAGCTTGGGGGGTTACTGCACCGAGTGCTCTGATTACCAGTGGGACCACTCGAGCTCTTTTCTGAGCCCTTGGTACTTCTCTAGCTTCTCCTGTTCCTTCTTCCTGATGTTGCAGTCATTAGGTATCACTACATCTATCACTACAGCCGTTTTCCTTTGCTTTTCCACTACTACTATTTCCGGTTGGTTAGCCGTCTGTATCTGGAAGTCCCAGGATCTTAGCTCGGTCATTCTCGACCATCGGATGTCTCCCATTTTGACCTCGGGACTTCCAGGCCATACTTGGCACAGATATTCTGCTGGCAATTTGGTTATGACGTTCCATCTATGCCCTGCCTGCGAGCATCATGCACTTATGTGCTGCAATGTGCTGAATTGTCTCAGCGGCATCTTTACACATCATGCACCTGGGATCTTGCCTGGTGTGGTACACCCCTGCCTCTATGGAGCTTGTACTTGGTTGCGGCCATCTTCTTGATGTACTTGTGGATGTTCATTGTCTCCTCCTGGTCCGTGGTACTGATACTCACTAGCCCCCCAGCATCCTTCCTTCCACTTAGCTCATATCCGAGGTAGGCTTGGTTAGCATGGGGGGTCTAGCTCGGGGACCCTTACTGGATACAAACGCCCTGGTTGGGAGTCGAACTCACGACTCCTGTTTCAAAGGCGTGGAACGGTATATACTATTTTTATCTTTTTCTTTCTTTCTTATTATTTCTTTGTTTTTGTTTTTTAAATGTATCGCCACCAATTGGATCACATAGGCAAGCAAAGCATTTTTTGGCCATGGCAACTTTGGAAAATTCTAAAGGAAGATGCGTATCACGTCTTAAATGTCACACTTCGCTGGCAGCCAGCCCCGAGGTTGTTGATTTCCAAACTCCACGGGGCACTATGCCGCTGACCGCAGAGGTGTGGGTGGGATACAAGGTGGAAGGAGGAAAAAAGTGTTTCTTGCGTTTGCCAGCTGCTCCTTTAGCTCACACAGAAGAAACACACAAACATGCACATACATCAATCTCTTGTGTCACAGTTTCACTGCCTGTCACCATGGTGACACCCTAAAGCTACAGCTGTCTGACAGAAGACTGACTGAACTTGCCGTGATTTGTGAATTTTGTGGTTTTGCATAGGCTTACACAAATACTCTCGCAACTTCAATTGGCAATCAGCTGAAAAAAGGCAGAGTTTTTCTCCTCTTTAGGTCAATTGTTAATAACAATCACATTCACATTCATCATCCACTTCCTCTGTGGATGCTGTGCAATGATTAGAATTTCATTCAAATATGAACACGTATTAAAACAGATGTTGTTTTCCTTCAGGAAATGTTTCACTCTTCTCTTCTCTTCTCTTGCTCTATCAGACCCTTGCCCCAGGCATGTTTTTTTCTGAGTGACATTCACTGGTGGCACATATAAAGCAGGTTAATATTGATCTGGGCTGAGCAGGTGATGGGTTAAATCGATTATGTATGTGACAGCCCTATTTCCTAAACTTGTAAAGCTTACTAAAGAATGCCTCCAGTCAAACAGAAATAAACAAGATGAAAATGCACAATTTTGCAGTAGTATCAAAAAAATCTGTGCATTCAGTAGTGATGTGAGAGACTTCTTGAGATGGCAGAGACACTAAATGGCAGCTCTGAAATGCATGAACTAAATCATAGAGTCTTCCTTTATCAAAATGAAATGTCTAACTTTGATAATCCACAGTTGGAAACGTCAAAGAAAGATTTGATTGAGATGTTATATTCAGCACTTTATCTGGGTGGGTACTGTGACGCAGAAATAAAAAAAAAAAGACTGATGATTCAAAACCAATCAAAAGGAGATTTAAATCATCCTTTGGAAAGAGTCTTAACAGCGACAATATGCCAGGCCATGTTTAATCATGACAGATCTTTAGAAACTGCGTGGGCGTGTGGGAGGGTGGGTGAGTGCAGGCAGAGAGACAGACTGGAAGACAACGTGCACTCATTTCATACATCGTAACATTTGGGCATTTTAGCATTTTTATTTTGTATAAAAAAACGTGGCACTATTCTTTTTTTTTTTTTTTTTTTTTTGGAAAAGCGACAACAGTCATAAAATGTGAAAGGGCAATAAGCAGCCTTTGTGAGCTTTTAAGGATGTCTGACCTGGGTATTTTTCCAAATCACCATGAAACATCTAACAGAGCTTTTAGTAAAGCAGGTGCATTTTTAGAAAATGCATTCATTTATTTGAAAATTACCACTGTGTTTCTGCTGCTCCATCAAAACATGCTGTCATGTTGTCTCAAATGCTGGTAAAATAAGAATACCCTGATAAAAACAACAACAACAAAAATACTTTAAATAGTGTTTTATGTATTTTTGTCACATATAACATCTTTGGATACTTACATTTTTTCTCTATAGGATGAATAAAAATGTAAAATAGAATCTGAATTTAGGCCTTCTGTCCTGAGCTCTTCACACCAGTCATGATACTTTTTTTTAAATTACTTTTTTAAAAATTTATTCTATTAGATGACATTTCTTTTGAGAACATAGTGGAGTAGAACATAGTAGAATGAATGAAAAGTCAGGATTTTATAAGATGTCTCTGATAACACTACCAAGAAACCTTGACTCCAATAAAAAAAAAAGACTGTAAGCTTTAGAAAACGAATTTAATCATTTTCACAGCAGCTATTTCTCAGCATAAGCAGCTCCAAGCCAGTTTCTAGATGTGTAACAAAGACAAGTACAATATAATTGCAATTACTAGTCAAGAAAAATCATAAAAAAGGTGTCTGGAAAATTCATTTCTTTAACTTTTATATATTTATATAATCAAAATGTTGGAATAATATAGACAAAAAGACTCATTGAGTTAATGTCTGCATACTTTGTCCTTTATAAATGCCAGAGTTACTAACAGAAAGAGTTGACAAGGAAGAGGTTTCAGCCCCTTAATCGCAGTAGAAGTCCATGTCCTGAAAGACAAGCAAAACATCAGGTTCTACTTCCTAACATGGAATGGGAAAAAAAAGTATTCATTCATTTTAAAAAAAATGTTGCATAAAAGAATTCAATGTACTAACAGTTGTTTGGATCTTAACTGTGTTTTCTGTAAACCTCTGTGTCTCCTTCACCACAGTTGCAGGGAAATATCCAATGATGCCCATCTGGTCCACGTACCGCTCACTGTAAATCTGCCAGCAAAAATAATATAACTCCAGCAAATTAGCATGCACCACACTCTATATGTATTATGCATAACCTTTCTTACAAAACTTGACATAATGAAAAGCCTGCTCGTTTCAGATACGGTGGACTCTGATATGCAACCAAATGTCTTTTCTTGTCAGAAAAGCCAGAAGGTTTGTGTTTGTTTACCACAGCTGTTGCACATCTTCTGTCTTTCACAACTCAAGTGTACAGTGCCATTAAACAGTGTACAAAATCTGCACATACGCTTCCAGACCAGAAGACTCCAGCGCCCTCTGCTGCAATGAGTTTGGAGTACACATAAACCACCTGACCCTTTCTGAGGTTGAGAAATCGGCAGTCAGGAGATATGAAGTAATCCAAGACTGTGGCCATGGAGAGAACATCTAATACAGCACAGGAAAAAATACAAAAGAAGAATGCGAAACATAAGCATCTACTGTTGATTTTGAAACGTGCTGCATCCTGCATGCTCTGCTATGCTTCTGTTTTTAATGCTCAGACTTACATGAGCACTCTGCATCTCCGCAAATCTTCTGGTCTGCTAGTTTATCCATATGGACAGCCCTCGTGGTCTGGTGGAGCAGTCCCACACACAACAGAATCACCAGTGGATAACCCATCCTCGCCAAAAGACCAAGAACAAGCGACTGTTGTGAGTGTGTGTACGTCCGCATGTGAATGCAGATGTTTGATGGAACTTAAGACTATAAAAATCACAAACACTTCTCTCAGCCAGGACAGAATGGGCTGAGCCCCTTCATCACACATCGACTAGCCAATCAGTGTCGAGTCTCAGAAATTCCACACTCTGTAAGTATTCATTTCCATCAGGGGAGTTGGCTGACTTTTCTCAATTCTCAGCCTCTTTGCAGAAAGAAAGTTTGCTGTAAACTGTAAGTGTTACACTCTATAAAAAAAACACATTCGTAAGCAGTAAAGGCCTTTAAATGCTATTTCTTTACAGTCAACCAGCTTTAAGATTTATCAAATCGATTTGACCATAAACCATCTTCAATAAATATGCAAATAAAGTACTGTTCAAAAGTCTTATGCTACCACTCATCCCTTTTGCCTCCAAGAAGCCAGACTTTGTTGTAATTTTTTAAGTTGTCTTGAGGACTAGTTCTTTAGTTTTCTTTGTAGGCCTTTCAAAGGTTTTCTTTGAACACTGGCTGCTGACTCATTTTCTGTCCACTCTTTGCACCTGACTACTTTCACTGACCGACCTATGAATCACTGAAGCAAAACATGTTTACTTAACTCATAGAATCAACCAGTGTTGAGTCTACACATAACAGACAACTTCGCAAATAATCTATTTTAAATTGTATCCTTTTAGCTGCCTGTTGCCAAAACACATCTATTGTTCCCATGTCTTTAACTGAATTCCAGAATAATGCACAAGATAACACAGTTTGACAGGTATAAAATAGTATTTTTGCACCAATAAGGCAATTCCAAAGGCGCTATTAGCTAAAATCTTGCTGTATCTCGGCAAAGTGTGCAGTGTGTCCATTAAAACATTTGAAATTGGACAAGTGGGGGACAAAACAAGAAGCAGCCTACAAACCTGTCTATAGCAAATGAAAATCATGCTCTTAATAAACAGAAAAAGATCCACCAGAGACTTGACACGGGAGCTTAGATGTATATCTGGGCCTTCAGTTGATCCATCTACTGTTCACTGAAGCTTAATCATCAATTATCTCAGTGGAAGTGTGGCTGCTTAAAAGGGAAGCATGCTTGCATGCTTAAGAAAGGGAAACAGTTAGAAAACGCTGAAGTATGCCATATTACACAAGATCATCATCAATATGTAAAAGGGAGGTCAGGTTAGACGTACAACAGTGAGTGCCTACAGCCCTCTGTGAAACACAGCAGCAGTTGTGTTAGTGTCTTCTTAAAATTGTTGCAAGTATGATTGTAGAAAAGTACTATCAGATCCACCATGCAATGCCATTTCTGTAGTGTGGGATTTGCAATTGCTTAATTTTGGCAACGATCCAAAACACACTGAAAATGCCTGGATACAAACACATCAGCGTATCAGTCATGGATTGACCTACTGAAGCAGTGTGGGATCATTTTGATAGCGAAGAGAATGAAAGGCAGCCAACAACCAAAAGAAGAGCTTATAATGTCCTGGGGAACTATTCCAGAAGACTACTTAAAGAAACTGCAAGAAACCTTCCTAAGACAGAGCTCATCATCATGCTGAAGAATAAAGCGGCCATACAAATATTGACTTTCAAGCTGGTTAGACTTATAAAGTTTGTTTTTTTACCTTGCAAACTCTGTTTGCGTTTATGTTTGCACACATTTCAATAAAAGCCTGCACCTAGTTCCCACTTTACTAGCAAAATATAAAGAAACAAAGGGTGACAAGACTTTTGCACAGCATTGTGATTCATATCGAGTTTGTAAAATGTTTAGCTTACACATCACTTCCTTTGGGTGTCGCTAAAGCGGCTGCAAAAAATATAGGTCAAACAAAATTACTAAATATTGTGTAAAATTGGGTACCCGATTTTACATTGATTTTAACTGTCTGTGAAACAGCTTATATCCAGACTTGAATTGAAAAACCTTGCGTATATGACGTGACGTGTAAAGAAATAAATCCCTTAATCTTAGCAGTACAAGATGACAAAATCACTAATTTAATATGTAAATACATAAATAAATACCTAAATGTAAATACCTTACAATGTTGAAGGTAAATGTGCTTGACGGTCATGAGGTTCTGGTTGAAATATAGTTCGATTGCAAATATAACAATGCCCAATCAAGTTTAATTTTTAAAATAGTAATCTATTTGAAAAGTTCAATGTTGTCCTTTCACCCACTGTGTTCTCGGGATCCCGAAGATTTTATATATAAGAGCTGTATTTTCAACACATCTTGTCTAACTTATGGTCAAGAAATCACACCATTTTACAATTCCCTCAGTTTCTTTTCGCTGCTTGCTGGATATCAATTCAACAAACCACTTTCAGTTTACCTGGCTAGATGATAATTGTTAGTAATTATAAGTCTTTCTTAGCAGCTGAAATAATGAAGTTGAATCTTCCCAGAAATACCATACAGATACAAAACCTGAGGTAATAAAGCCTCAAGGGCGTTGGCATGCAGGTCACATTCCTTATAATTAAACTGGTGACATATTTTAGATGTCATCAACTTTGTAAACAAGCTGGACATTACGCACTTATTTCCTTCATCTGATGCAAACCACTGAAAACCGAGTATGTTTACATCTAGATGTAGGCGGGTGGGGTTTAAACTGACATGCAATATGAGTAAATAGGAAAACAAAATGAACCTCTCCCTCGCGCTACGCAGTTATTTAAAACAAACGCACCATTGGCATTTGGCTGTGACGTAGGCATACTGTAAACTCAAAGCCGTAGTCTCGGCCGGTGCTGTTATTGTTCAGTTCGCGGAGTTTGGGGGGAGGGTATTGCTTTATTTTTTATTTTGGGGGCTGCACACTGCCATTATCGGGGTAATTACAACCACCCCAATGCCTGGCCCGAGGTATATATTATTTATATAGCGTCAGAATCTGTCTAAGTAGTTGTAAGCTAACAAGTTAGGTCCCAAAGTAGCCGATGGATGCGCGGGTATCGGAGTTATTTGGCTCAGGAAACGGACACAGCTCTGGATCTGGTGGTGTGTCCAGCGGCAAGCCTGCGAATGGCTATGGGGTAGCCCCCAAAAAATCCTCTGCAAAGAACAAGAAAGCAAAAGCTCGATTATCCCGCAACTTCAAACCAAGCAATAACACCCCGTATCTACCTCCAGAGGTAAGGCTAAAAATACGCGCACAATTAGCTATTTCGAGTTAATATTTCCCGGGCACTGGAAAGCCTGTCACTAAGAGTAAGCAAATGGATTTTTGTCTGTTGTAACGCTACTCGTAGGTTTGTCATTGTATTTCCTGTTTTGAGGGTTAGCTTCCCCACTATTGACTTGTCTTTGAACCTGCAGTGACACGTAGCTAGTCGGTACAAAGAAAATGAATGGTACCATTTCAAGCGTAGAAGTTTTGCGTTTGCTGTTGGCTTACGACTTTCTACTTACAGTAGTTTTGCAGAAATAGGCCTAACGTATGTTAATTGAAAGTTTTTTGATTAAAAAAATGCAAGTATTTTGCTAGCTAGCAAAAGAAGATCAGCTGTGTTTGTAAATAGGGGGCGGGTGCATAGCTCAGCCAGCCGACCTCTAGATAGTGATACTGTGAGTGTCTGACATTCACTCAGCCAAGGACTGTGTTACTACACAAAACTTTTTTTTTTTAAACATGTATTTATTTATTTATTTATTTATTGTACAGTGACCTCCGTGTGTTGTCATTACCCACCAGCTGCGTTTTTTAAACGTGACACTTAATCCTAAACTGTTCTTTAACCTTTACTGATCATAAGCTGCCCAGTATAAAATTGCTGTCAGCTGATCACTGAATATAACTAGGTCCCCTGTCATAAGTGATTACATGACAGATATTTTCGCGACTTGGTTTACCTTAAATGTATTGATTTTGACTTTTAAGCATGTGTATGTAATGTGTAATAACATATTAAGTCGCTGTGTAAGGCTAAGCAAGCGGTTAGCCTGTTTGTATAGCTCTCAGTGACTGCCTATTCATAGAGAACACTGACTGCACATTCAGTCAAACTGCTTTTCTTTTTCTCTTTAAACAAATCAATAGTCTGTTGTCTTCCTTACAGTTTTACAGCTGTTGTTTCTTTTCTGTCTCTCTTTGTTTTACTCCCTGTCTCTTAGGCTGAAGAGGGAAATATAGAGTACAAGGTAAGCGAATTAGCTGTGACGCAAAGTCTTTGTTTTGTTCATAGAGCTAAAATGCTTTACATAACACCATAAAACTGATTTATATATGGATCAATTCTTGTGATGTGGATGTTATTGGAAATTTATCAGTATGCAGTATGTGTGAATATATAGGGGCAGTCTTTCCATTGAAATATAACACCACTGTGGATTAAGTTAATCTCTAGTTACTAGAGCATTTGTAGTATCAGGACAGCCGCTTCTTGTCAATATAGAGCTTTTTTATTGCCTTGGTCCTACAGTAATCATTTGTTTATGTCCAAAATAGTGTTGAGTACTAATTAGTAATTTCTTTTCTTGAATAGCTCAAGCTAGTGAACCCCACACAATACCGCTTTGAGCACTTAGCAACACAAATGAAATGGCGACTGCAGGAGGGCCGAGGTGAAGCTGTCTATCAAATAGGTGTCGAGGACAATGGCATGCTGGTGGGACTATCAGAGGAGGAAATGAGGGCTTCACTAAAAACGCTCCATCGGCTTGCAGAGAAGTAAGTCCAGTATTTTTATTCCGTTTACTGACTGATAGTTATTCTGCTGTTGTAGTTTACCTCATCTACCAAAACACAAAGAACTGTACTTACGTTTGTTTTTCGTGACAGAGTTGGAGCGGACATCACAATTTTAAGAGAGCGAGAGGTGGACTGTGACTCTGATGTGCCTCGTAAGATTGCTGAAGTTCTCATTCGCAAAGTGCCAGATGACCAGCAGGTTAGTGTGGCTACCTGCACATGGATATCTCTGGATGTTTAAATTCTTGGGCATTTTTAAGTCATTTTGGTGTTGTGTTTTTCTCCTTAGTTCTTAGACCTACGAGTAGCCGTACTGGGCAATGTGGACTCGGGCAAGTCCACTCTTTTGGGTGTTTTGACACA